CCCAATTCAACAACGAGTTCGGCCGCCCATGCACCACCGGTTACTTCCGCACCATGCTCATGCGCGTCTTTACAAACGAGAAGGAGTCGGAGCTACGGGGCTACCACAAGCCTATCATGCTGGCAGGTGGTGTGGGCACCGTCAGGCCGCAGCATGCGCTCAAGGACCCTGACGTTGTACCCGCTGGCTCGCACCTTCTCGTTATCGGTGGACCTGCCATGCTTATCGGCCTTGGTGGCGGAGCAGCTTCCAGTATCCAATCCGGCGAAGGAAAGGTCGACCTTGACTTTGCCAGTGTGCAGCGAGGCAACCCCGAGGTGCAGAGGCGCGCGCAGGAAGTCATTGACGCGTGTCGCTCCATGGGCGACAAGAACCCCATCCTCTTCATTCACGACGTCGGAGCTGGCGGTCTGTCCAATGCGCTGCCCGAGCTTGTTCACGACTCTGGTCTTGGCGCCATCTTCGAGCTACGCGAGATCGACAATGTTGACAAGAGCATGAGTCCGCTGCAAATATGGTGTTGCGAGGCTCAGGAGCGTTATGTGCTTGCAGTCAGCCCTGATCAGTTAGACTTGTTCAAGCGTATCTGCCACCGTGAGCGATGCGGTTACTCCGTCGTTGGCAAGGCTACGAAGGAGCAGCGTCTGGTGTTAAACGACAGGGACTCCAAGGAGAACCCTACACCCATCGATCTTCCAATGGCCACACTTTTCGGAAAGCCACCAAAGATGTCCCGCATTGTCGAGAGCCGCAAGTTGAGGCTCCCTGCCTTTGACAGCAGCTTGTCCATGTACATTCCCGACACACCAAAGGATGGCTTGATCGCCGAAGCCGTGGACCGAGTTCTCACCCTACCAGCCGTAGGCTCAAAGTCCTTCTTGATCACCATCGGAGACCGCACTGTCGGTGGCCTTACTGTCCGTGATCAGATGGTTGGCAAATGGCAGGTCCCAGTAGCTGATGTATCGGTAACAGCTACATCGCTACTGGCTGGTGTCAGGACTGGCGAGGCTATGACTATGGGCGAGAAGCCGACCCTGGCGCTCATCTCGCCGGCCGCATCTGCCAGGATGGCAGTCGCAGAGTCTTTGATGAACATTGCTGCAGCAAGCCTCTTCGATAGGCTATCGAGAGTCCGACTCTCGGCCAACTGGATGTCTGCAAGCAGTCATCCCGGAGAGGGTGCAGCCTTGTACGAGGCCGTCGAAGCTATCGGCATGGATCTCTGCCCTAAGCTTGGCATATCTATTCCCGTCGGCAAGGACTCGATGAGCATGAAGATGAAGTGGTCGGACAACGGCGAGGCCAAGGAAGTCACAGCACCCATGTCGCTTGTCATCACTGCATTTGCCCCTGTCAACCGCACAGATCGAACATGGACACCTGCTCTAGAGAGGGTTGAGGATGTCGGTGAAACCGTCCTGATGTTCGTCGATCTAGCAGCAGGCAAGAAACACATGGGCGGTTCTGCCCTAGCACAAACATTCGGACAGATCGGCGATGAAGCACCCGATGTTTACGACGCCGATATCATCAAGGACTACTTTGACGCGATCGAACAACTTCATGAGTCGGATATCGTGCTTGCATACCATGACAGGTCTGACGGTGGTCTTTTCACAACCCTCGTTGAGATGGCCTTTGCCGGCCGATGTGGTATCGAGGTCATGCTCGACGGCATCGCGGCGTCAAGCGAACCAAAGGATGTTCTGGAAACACTATTCAACGAAGAGCTCGGAGCTGTCTTCCAGATCAGGAAGAAGGACGAAGTTGCCTTCAACCGCTGCTTTGCCACCTGCGGGCCGCCTCCAGGTATGATCAAGAAGATTGGTCGCGTACCTGAGGCCACAAAACAAGACATCTCTTTCTACGTCGGCACTCAGAATGTTTACCGCAGCACACGCCAGAAGCTCCAGCAGCGCTGGGCAGAGACCTCGTACCGCATGCAAAAGCTCCGAGACAACCCTGCTTGCGCCGACGCCGAGTTCAAGAACATCCTCGACGACAAAGACCCAGGCCTGTCGTACAACCTCAACTTCAAGCCTGCCGAAAACATTCTGCCCTTCATGTCGAACCTCAAGTCACCTTTTACCGCCAAGCCCCGCGTAGCCATTCTTCGCGAGGAAGGTGTAAATGGCCAAGCCGAGATGGCATTTGCTTTCCACCAGGCCGGTTTCACTGCCATCGATGTACACATGACCGACATCATCTCTTCGCGCGTATCGCTCGCTGGCTTTGTGGGTATAGCAGCGTGCGGTGGTTTCTCCTACGGTGACGTGCTTGGCGCAGGCCAAGGGTGGGCAAAGTCTGTCCTCTTGCACCCCAACACACGCAAGGAATTCCAGACGTTCTTCGCTCGCCCAGATACTTTTGCCCTTGGTGTCTGCAATGGTTGCCAGTTCATGAGCAAGTTGAAGGAGTTGATCCCTGGTGCGGAGCTATGGCCTAGCTTCGAGCGCAACGCGTCTGAGCAATACGAAGCGCGTGTCTGCATGGTCGAGGTGCTCGATCCCAAAGGACCCAACACACCGCCATCTGTCTTCCTGCACGGCATGGCTGGATCCAAACTTCCCATCGTCACCGCGCACGGCGAGGGACGCGCTCACTTCTCCAAATCTGCTTCCTCGGTCTCGAGCCCACAGACGCTATACAACGAAAACCTTGTGTCGTTCCGCTACGTCGACAACTACGGAAAGCAAACCGAGACATACCCATACAACCCGAACGGCAGTCCAATGGGTATCAGTGGTGTGAGGAGTACCGATGGTCGGGTATTGGCGATGATGCCGCACCCCGAACGCACTATCTTGAAGGAGGTCGGAAGCTATATCCCACGAGATGTAGAAGGATGGGGCGAACTTGGCCCGTGGTCACGCATGTTCAAGAGTGCTAGGCGATGGGTCGGCTAGAGCACGCTTGGAGAGAGACGCGATTCGGTATGCATGGATTGGTTGGCGTTTAGGGTGGTTATTATAGGCATTTACGATACGGAAATGATAGATTTACAAGCATCCAAACGATTGTTTGCAGAGGCGAGGTGTATTTTTACTTCGTACATCGTGTTAGGCATCCACTTTGCCAAGGAAATGCGACACAGGGGACTCTCCATCCTCGTACAACAAGCAAATCTGCAATCAGCTGTCTCAGTCAATAGATCTAGGTCAAGATGGGCGGAGTTCTCTCAATTCTGCGAAACACAGCCAAGGCTCTCATCGCAGCAGCTTCTCTCTTAAGAGCTTTGTCAACCGAGTTCGATCAAGCTCTGAAGCGTGCATCACAACCCCCGGGTCTTCCGGTCCCCAAGCCATCCGAAACTTACTGGCTCAGCGACCCTCCACACCCTGCACTATGCGACGCAAGCTCGTCCAAACTGCCGGAAACTGTAGATGTGGTCATCATCGGTTCCGGAATAGCTGGCGCTGCTGTCGCGCGATCATTGTTACACGAGCGACGCCGTCGCAACATCCACACTGATGAGAAAGTGGTGGTCCTCGAAGCTCGACAGCTGTGCAGCGGTGCGACTGCTCGGAATGGCGGCCACATCAAACCTTCAGTGTACGAAAGCTTTTCTCGATTCAGCAAGCTGTTACCAAAAGATCGTGCTGCTGCTCTGGCGCGTTTCCAGCTTCTGCACGTCAAGTACTTGACAGAGTTATGCGAAAGCGAAGGCATTGAGGCTGCCGAAGCTCGAAAGGTCGAGACTGTGGACTTTTTTCTGGATGACGAAAGTTTCTCCAAGGCTGTCGCCGATGTCGAGGAGTTGAAGAAATGGTTGCCTGAGGTTGAGATTGCGGTATGGAGGGGTGGCCAAGTACAGAAGGTTTGATGACACCCTAAGGTGGCTAGCAAAGGAACTTTCCGATGCTGACGAATGTAGAAATTTGGTGTCAACAACAGCGTCGTCGGTGCTTTGTCATACGAAGCAGGTGCTATCTGGGCATACCGATTCGTTGCGTCTATCTGGAACGGCCTTCTCAATGACTTCCCTGATACCCTCTCCATCGAGACAAGCACTCCTGTAGAATCGATAAGCGTCCCGGAAACGGCCTCTGAAGACTTCCCATACGCTGTACAAACTACCCGAGGAACGATGTTCGCCCGCCATATAGTCCACGCCACCAACAGCTTCGCAAGCCACCTTGTCCCAGGGCTACGCAGCAAGATCGTGGGCGCACGAGCCCACATGTCTGCACAGCAACCAGGACAAACATTCCCATACGCCGACGGCATGCGCTCGTGGAGTGTAGTCTACGGCGAGGGCTTCGACTACGTAACACAACGTCCACCAGCCACCGGTGATTCCAAAGGAGATCTGATGATTGGAGGCGGCTTCGTTCGATCGCTAAAGCAAGGCATCGATCAAGTCGGTCGATATGACGATGGCCCCTCACTCGATCCTTTGACCGCCGCACACATCACGGGTGTCTTTCCAGCGGTTTTCCATCCCAAATGGGGTGCTGGTGCTGAGTTGAAGCAGATGTGGTCTGGTATCATTGGTTTGACTGGCGATTACATGCCATTCGTGGGCCGCTTGGATGCAAAGCTAACGGGGCGGGATATCAAAGCACGAAAACGCGTGGCGTCTGACAAGGACTCGTGTGGGGAGTGGATTGCGGCGGGCTTCTCGGGAGAGGGCATGGTGTGGGCTTGGCTTTCGGGTGCTGCTCTTGGTGTTATGATTGCTGGTAGTGAAGACGAAGACTTGCCTGAAGCTGCGGGGAGACCGGGTGGCAAGTTATCGGAATGGTTTCCGAGAGAGCTCTTGGTGTCAAAGGAGAGGATGCGCAGCGCTGATGTTAGTAACCTGGCCAATTAGTCGTCAGAAGCAAGGCTATGGTTTGTCGATATATGTCGATGGATTTGCGAAAACTCCTTGTATAAAGATCGATTGCGTATTAGGTTCTATGATGCTATTAGACTATCTTCTAGTTACAATTCCTCTATTCCCAACGCCGTCGATTGCTTCATTGCCGTGTATTCCAAATGTAGGGTGCTTCAGTTCAAGCAGCCTCTTTCTCTACATCTCTTGACGCTTGTTCTGCTGGCTTTCCCGCACGTTCCTTGATGCTCCTCCATTCCACCATCAACGCTCCAATGATGGTGCAAGCGCTGAGTGCTGCTGCTAGCAGGAACGTCCGAGTTATTGAGTAGCTGTACGCCGATACCACCGTATCGATCTCGTTCGCCGCTACCACTTTTCGGAGGTCTGTTGCGCCGGTATTGATGATGAGTTCAGTATCAAGGTTGGAGTTGCCCGATAGTTGCTTTACGAGCTGGGTCGAGAACAGATTTTGTCCAACAGCAAGGAAGATAGCACCACCCTGTTGATTTAAGAAGAAGACTATAGGTTTACGAAGTCAACGTATGTTCAAGATGCAGTTCGTACAGAGAAACTTACTCATCGCCATGCCTAGGGAAACATCTGAGCGCGGCAGGATAGTCTGCGGCACCAGGTTCGCTGTTTGAGCCCCAAAGCCAAGCCCGCACCCGTAGAAGACCTGATAGCCAATCCATTCGCGAGCGCTCGACTCCGGCGTAAGTGTAGAAAGGAGGCCACTGGCGATTGATGCGACAACGGCCGAAAGGAGTAAAGCAGGGACATAATATCCGATCTTCTGAGTTATCACTGCTGTGATAATACCGAAGACAATAAGCGATGTGCACAACGGTATCGTGCGTACACCGGCCTGCATGGCAGACTGGCCCTGAGCTGCCTGGAACCAAATGGCGATGTAGTATACAGCGTTCATCATACCGCCGGCGAGGAGAAAGATGAAAAGCATAGCACCGCCCATCGAACGGTTCAAGATGACCCGAGGCGGGGCCATGGCTGTATCCGGCATCGTAAACTCCACAACCAGGAATCCGATGAAAGTAACTGCAAATGTGACGAGCAGGCCGACGATTTTCGGTGCCGACCAGGGATCGGTCGTACCTCCCCACTGAAGAGCGAGGATAAGGCATACCATGGATGGTACGAAGAAGAGAAGACCTATTGGGTCGAGGCGCTTGAGCTGAGCGAGAATGGACAGCTTCTCTTTAGGTGTTGAAGGGAGATCCAGAAAGAAGAATATGCATGCGAACGTCAAGGCACCGATGGGGAGGTTTATGTAGAAGCACCATCTCCAGGTCAAGGTCCTATTTGCGTGTTAACCGTGACTCATGAAGAAAACCGGGAGACTTACGGGTTGTCCGTGAAGGTACCTCCAACGAAGGGCCCCAATACAGATGACACTCCAAATGCGAGACCGAGAAAAGAAGTGAAGATGGGTCGCCTTCGCAATGGCACGAGGGGTACGATGATCATGACCGCACCACATTGAAGTCCAGCTGCTCCAATACCAGCGATTGCGCGACCGACGATGACTTCAATGAGGGTCAGCGAGTGCATCATCTCGCGATTTGGTGGATTACTTACGAACAACAGAAGTAGGTGCGGCCCCACACAATGCACTGCCAACTTCGAACAGGAAAACGGACACCAAAAACGTCGATTTGGTATCGTAAAGCTGGTATATTTTGCCGAAGAGTGGATTGAAGATTGCGCACGTAAGCATGTAGCCACTACCATACCAGCCTATATCCGCGATAGTGCCGTATGTGTTTGTGATTGCCGGTATAGCAGTAGCTAAGCAGTGTCAGTAAGGACTAAAGACGGAGAAGTTCCACATACCAATGATCATGCGGTCGAGAGCAACAAGGAAGAAGGCCAGATAGATCGAGATGATGACGAGCCAAAACTTGAGCGTTTTGGGCTTATAGTTCTCCTCGGAATCTGCGTACTCGTTGCCTCCAGAGGCTGAAGGTGGGGCATCTTTTCCAAGATTTTCGTGCAAACTAGCGGGCTGGGAGACTGTTGCAGTCCCAACTTGAGATGTTGTAGTCATGGCGTAAACTTCGGAATAGGCGCAGTGGGGTTCAAAGAGAAACTTGAGATTGGATACACTAGAACATTGTCAAGAGAAGCTTGGCTGTTATATGTACATTCGGTATGTGCAACGTCCCGAATGGTGTTTTGCAATACAATCCCGTTCGGGGAGTAGCAATGTCCGACATGGAGGCGGTCTACGCAAACCTTGGAAGCGAACTTCGACCTGTTGCAGAGTAACGAGTGATTCAGAACTGGTAGTAAATACCAGAGTTTCCCCGAACGCATACTAACGATTTGATGTGTTGTGACGATTCAATGTCCTGAATGCCCAGAGTTGCCCGGTGTTCGGTGGGAGAGAGATCACGTGATGGGCTCGGGGATTAGATCTGACCGAGAGGCTTGCCGCACCTTACTGAGGCGTCGGTGCGCGTCATCACGCCCTTGCGGATCGAACCTCAAGTTCAGACATCGGAGGTAGTAAGCGTGAATAAACGCGAAGATTGCGGAGATGTTGGGATGGATGCCATCCCGTCACTGCTGAAACAAGGGAGAGGAGTGGATGTGGTTGACGAACGCGACTGAAGCGGGAAGTGCGGTTTACGTAAGCCTCACGCGTCGTGATGGTGGTATCGAGCCTGCCAGCCTGGGCACCCTCTTGCGCCGGCCTGCCTGTCTGCTATCCTGCGAACCGCCCTCATCGTCGCAAGGACCCATATTTCTCATATGAAGCCACAATGCTCTTTCGTCACAGTCAGCCCGGGGACAAGCAGAGCCAGGCGAGCGCCTCGCGTCTGGTTGCCTGGCTGCCTGGTTAGCGCCTGCCTCGCCACCTGCTCTGTGGTGGCCTTTTCCACTCCGCGCTCGCATACCTGATCAATACCGCTGTCACGAAAGAGAGCTCGTTCCCTTGACATGTCGTCTGATATACCCACACCTGAACTCAGCGCTGATGCACTGTCTCCATTGGCGCATGCAAGCAAGTCTCAGCGCGTGCTTTCGTGCGTGCTATGCGCGCAAAGAAAGGTCAAATGTGACCGGGCTTTTCCTTGCTCAAACTGCAAGAAGGCGGGTGTGCAATGCATTTCCGCAGCGACGCAACCACGGCAACGACGTCGCAGATTTGCCGAACGGGAGCTGCTTGAGCGTCTTCGCCACTACGAAGACCTCTTGAAGACCAACGGCATTGCCTTCCAACCCTTACATGCATCTTCGAACCTATCCACAGGGCCCCACGAAAGTAACGTCAGTCGTGGTCAGGAGATTTCCAGAGCTCAATCGTCCACCATATCAGATACCGACAACACCCAACCCAAGTACGCAGAAACTGTAGCACTTGAAAGAGACACTACTAACTGTACTAGGAGTTTTTGGCTTGCCTTAAACCGATTAGCATACGATGCTGATGACGACGGCAGCGACGACGATTCCGAGAACAGCGGCTCTTCGCAACACGCATTACAGCAAGCGCAGATTGTGCAAGCCTGGGATAACCTCTATGCGCAGAAACTACACCGTAACGAAGATCTCTTGTTCTGCTCGCGTAGTACGGCCGTCGACCTATCGGTTCTCCATCCCCCACAAAGCCAGGTGTTCAAACTTTGGCAACTGTACCTTGAGAATGTCGACCCATTATTGAAGCTCACCCATACGCCTACCCTCCAGCCACGCATCATCGATGCCGCTAGCGACGTCTCACATATCGATCCAAATTTGGAGGCCCTAATGTTCTCCATCTATTGCATGGCTATTTTCAGCCTCAATCAGGAGCAGTGTCAATCATGGTTTGGTAGGCCTAAGCCGGACCTGATCAGATCTTACCAGTTGGGTGCAAGGGAGGCGCTGCTGAATTGTAACTTCTTAAAGTCTAACGATCGAGAATGCTTGACAGCCCTTCATCTGTACCTGGTCTCGCTCAAACCAGACACAGACCCACGGTCATTGTCGTCCATGCTAGGGGCTGCTGTTCGCATTGCTCAGCGAATGGGTATCGATGCCGAATCTGCCAATTCCAGGCATTGCGTGCTAGAGGCCGAATTACGCAGAAGACTATGGTGGTCTCTCTCTCTCTTTGACAACAGGATGTCTGAAATGACCGAGAGCAAGTCCACTACATTAATCCCGACATGGGATTGCAAAGCCCCGCTCAACGTCAATGATTTCAACTTACGAGTCGAGACCAAGACCCCTCCTGTTGAGTCTGAGGTCGTTTCCGAAGCCTTATTTCCAGTCATCCGTAGCCAGATTGGCGAGTTCATTCGTCAAAGCCCATCTCATTTGGACTTCATCAATCCGGCCCTGAAGTCCTTCTCCAAGAAGGCATTTGACGCCTCCTATTCAGGTCTTGACGAGCTTGCCGCTTTTGAGTCAACGATAGAGCAAAAGTATCTTACGCGTTGCGATGCTCAAAACCCGCTGCACTTTCTAACCATGTGGATGGCGCGCGCGTCACTCGCAAAGATCGGATTTGCACAATACCTATCAAACAACTCGAAGGGACTTGCGCAAGGAAGTGAGGAGCAGCGCAACGTTGGTCTTGGATTTGCGCACCGTATGCTTGAGTGCGATACGCTGCTCATGACCTCACCCCTCATAGCAAATTTCCGCTGGGTTGTCTACATGCACTTCCCGTTCCCTGCCTATATTCATCTCGCCCAAGAGTTGAAAATACGCCCACTAGGCCAACTCGCAGATCGATGGTGGCAGGCAATGAGCGAGAACTGCGCCGCTCGGTTGATGGACTTCGAGAAAAAGGACAGCCCGGTGGAGACCAAACCCAACAACCCTTTCTTCACACTCTTTGGGGGGCTTGTTCTGCAAGCTTGGTCGGCACGTGAAGCAATAACGTCCGAACAATCGGATCCACCAGCTATCGTGACGCAAATCAGACAAAAGATGGCCCTAAGGGACAAACTAGCGGCAGAGTCGCAATTCCAGACGCCAGGTCTTGATGATCCACAAACGTCCGAGCTCATTAGTTTGGACAGTCTCGGCTCCCAATCGAGCGTTACCCGTGGCAGTGGCATGAATCTGGGCTGTGTAGCTTTCCCCATGGAACAAGCTTCGATGAACTACAATGGCAATCCATGGGATTGGCCAATGCCGGCTTGGGCTGGAATGCCCGGTCAAGGCTGGTGAACCTACCGTGTTCACGCATAGATCCTCTTGTTCGATGAGTACCTCATACGACACGTGATCGTGCCCATAGAAGCCATCGCCAAGACGGGCTGCTCTTTGCATCAATAGACTGACTCGAGCAGTGAGAACCAGGGTGTCTCAGCTGTCACGACAGATTCACCGAGCCTCCCTTTGAGTCAAAAGTCCAGTGCAAGCGCCGCCATCGTCTCGGCTGACCTAGCCGCATTCACACCAGGATACCCCAATCGCCTTCTGCACTCCGGCCGTTGTGCCGGCAGCCGTCACTTTTTACCTTTCAACGTCATGCATCGCAGCTACAATGGTTTGCGTTACTGAAATTTAGAGCACATTATTAAGCCGGCTTTAAATCGTGTGGATCCGCCACGATACCTCCGATAGAGCTGTTCCTGCAATTCCCATGCGCTGGGAACAGGGGCGGAGTTTTGACGGTGGTTATTCACATGAAGTTCTTTTTTTGTAGATAACGTCTCCCTGATGGGCGCAGGGGTGGGGTGGAGCGTTGGCCTTGGCGTTTCAAGCAGCCTGACAAGGAATCGATAATTGCCAGCTGGCGCGTGTAGAACCACCGCCGCAATCCTTCAGCAGGCCGTTCAGGATGTATGAAATACTGTCAGGTATAGCACTTTGTCAGAGGAAAAGGCACATGTCCCCATGAAAATGTGGGAACTGGGGTCATCGCATCAGCATAACAACTCATTACGACAATGCGACACTCCACATCACGACCCAGGAGCCGAGATCCATTCGATCTTTTGCTTGAGGCGCAGTCAACAGCATGACTCCAGGAACACCGAGCATACCGATAGTGGCATCGTCGCTAACCTGCCTGGGTCTCCCGGCCCGCTACCGTTGACATGAACCCCCTGTTAGGTCCGGATCTGGTGCCATTAGCGCTATCGAAGATACTAAAATACGATATATAGGTGAGCATATACAGGGTAGCTACTCACGAACGGTTCCCATCTTGGCAGGACGCTATCCTCTTCGATGCTAGGTCTACAATCCCCTCGTTCGTTTCAATGGTATCCATTTTTGCAAACTCCTATGCGGGTCACCGTTATGGGATCGTGGCTGGGACGGGTATATAGATAGTTGACGCCAGTCCTCCGATTCCTGCCTCAGGCCAGTTGTCTGATTTCACATCCAAGATGCAGGTCCGCACTCTTTTCGCCGTGCTTTCGGCAGCCACTCTTTTACAATTCACCAACGGTCTTAATGCTTGCCCTGGCAACGACGATATCTTTACTGGAGCGGAAGGCATCAGATATCGAGTTTGCCCCGGTACCGACCTTACAGGACCTACGACATCGATCAAGCGCGTTGCTTCGGTTACAGCATGTGCAAAACTCTGCGACAAGAGTATGGACTGCTTCAAGGCAGTGTTTGATACCAAGACGAAAGATTGCCATTTCAAGGATCTTACCGGCCTGAATTGGGTTGCCAACGATCGCTTCCAGGTCATTCAAGCAGAGCAAGTGAACATCGCTCGCTGCCCTGCTGGCGAATGGACGTATCATAGAAACAGAGTAAGTCTGCTCCCCAGTAGCTTGAGACACGCGGACATTAACATTGCACCCCTAGAAACAATACAGCATCTGCCCTGGCACCGACATCCGCGGACCAAGCGAGAAGGTATGGCAAGGCGTGAACACCTTTGATACCTGTGCCTACCTTTGCGCCAACTGGGCCACATGTACCGCCGCTGTCTACGACTCTGCCAAGAAGGCTTGCCACATCAAAGCCGACTCGCGCAGTAACACTTTGATCTGGTCAACCGACAAACGCTTCGATGTAATGCGTCTCAATGTAGCGCCTGCGCCTGCGAAGGATGGTGAATGGTCAGATCTTATCCGCCTGCCCGTCATCCCGGTTGCTGCATATGTCGTCCCGGAATACCCGGTCTCGGAACGTCTTCTCGTATTCTCGAGTTGGGGCGCTGATGCTTTCGGAGGTGCTGGTGGACGCACTCAATTTGCGGACTACAACTTCAACACGTAAGTCATAGTGGTCCAGTATCATCAACGCACGCTAACATTCCCTCAGTGGAGCTGTTTCAGCTCGTACAGTGAGCAACACTCATCACGACATGTTCTGTCCCGCAATGAGCAGTCTTCAGGACGGAAAGCTTCTGATCCAAGGAGGATCTGACGCTTCCGCGGCCAGTCTTTATGATCCAGCATCAAACGGATTCACTCGTGCACCCGACATGTTAGTCTTTTCTAGCTCAATAATATGAACTTCATACTGATGGTACTTAGGAAAATGGCTCGCGGCTACCAATCATCCACGACGACATCCGACAACCGCGTTTTCACCATCGGAGGTGCATACTCTGGTCCACGCAAGGGTAAAGACGGCGAAGTGTACGACCCTGCCACCAACGCCTGGACGGCACTGCCAAACGCGAAGATGAAGGCTATGCTCACGACCGACCATGAAGGCATCTGGCGTGAAGACAACCATGCATGGTTGTTTGGTTGGAAGAACGCCTCCGTTTTCCAGGCCGGTCCAAGCAAGGCCATGAACTGGTACGGTACCAAGGGAACTGGATCGCAAGTCGCTGCTGGTATTCGTGACCCCATTGATGATGCGATGTGTGGAATCTTCGTCATGTACGATGCCACTGCTGGCAAGATCTTGAGTGCTGGCGGCGCGCCTGACTACACCAACGCAGACGCCAACGCTCGGGCCCACATCACTACAATCGGCGAGCCGAACACCCCTGCCAAGGTTGAGCGAGTCGCGAACATGGCCTACCCTCGCGGTTTCTCCAACGCGGTCGTTCTGCCTGACGGAAAAGTTCTCGTAAGCGGTGGTCAGAAACGCTCATTGGTCTTCACCGATACGGATGGAGCTCTCTACCCAGAATTGTTCGACCCAGCCACCAAATCTTGGAAGACTCTAGCACCACAAGCTGTCCCCCGCAACTATCACTCAGTCAGCATCCTGCTAGCCGATGGACGCGTTTTCTCCGGTGGCGGTGGTCTCTGCTACGTCGCGCAGGGAGTTGGCCGCAGCTCCGCCAACTGCAACAAACTCGTCGACCATGCCGATGGCCAGATCTTTTCCCCACCATATCTCTTCAACAACGACGGTACCCCCGCAACCCGACCAGTCATCAGCTCTTTGAGCGCGGAGAGCGTCAAGGTTGGAGGCAAACTGACCATCCAAGTCGAGACGTCTACACCAGGCCTCAAGTTCGCCTTGGTCCGCATCGGCAGCGTCACACACTCCGTCAACACCGATCAGCGCCGCGTGCCTTTGACCAACGTCAAGGGTGATGGATGCAGTTACACTGCTACACTGCCCGACGACAGTGGCATTCTCATCCCAGGTGCCTACTACGTCTTTGTCATGTCGAAGGAGGGAGTTCCTAGCATCGCCCGGACTGTACAGATCGTACTCCCATGAGTTTACCGTGGCACGGGTAGACCCACATACTGGATGTCGCAACGCTCTTTACGCACCACTCGCTTTCATACGTCACCGTCACATTAGCCTAACCCATAAGTCTTTCATTTCCCTACATAGTTAGAACATAATGTGTATTACAAGATAATGTATACTATGAGTACAGAGGATGAGCAATCAAAATATCATCCTCATGTTAAAAAAGATCGTGTAGATGAGTGATTCACCTGTCAAGTTTGCCTGACTTTGCACATCCCGGTAGTTGAGCCTGTCCAAAGGATCTAAACTTCATCGCATCTTTCGGCTAATATCCTGCAAGCAACCAGATTGTACTGAACGTATCACCCGTTACAGATGACACATGTGCTGTCAATGTGGGAATGTAGGCTCTAGTTGGGCTAGCTTATAGATTTTGGTGACACTATGCCGGCCGTTAGTTGCCTGACGCCGCTCACGAACTGTGTACGCCAGCTTTTGTCAGCTTCTCAACCTGCAAACAATTACACTTGAATCAATTGTACTCTCTCAGCAAACAGTAATTCCTAGTTGTCACTAGACGCCCTAGCCCCGCTAACTGTCACTGTTCTTCGGACTCCGGGGCCTGCTAGCGTCCTCGACATCTATGACCACAAAATGACACTGTGAGACATACACACTCAAGAGCTACTGCCTACGAGGCCAAATGTGTTTACGATCAGTTTTAGATAGAGTGCTGGCGTTCCGTGTGGAAGAGGGCTATACGAAATGTAGTAGGAGGTGGCGCTCACGATGCGCGGAAGCAGAAAGGCGTCATAACATCGATCAGCACCAGCAGGGCTTTCACGATCGCAAGACTATCGACTTGAAACGTTCCCTATACTCACGATGAGCGTTGCCAGCATCTCACACATGTCTCGAAGGACCTTGGCCGCTGGGGCTGGCACCAGAGACATGGTAAGCTACCGGTATAAGATACGCAGCCTCGACTTTCACCAGGAGCACCTATCAAAGCAGTCTCAGAACGTCGTTACTTGAGTCCTCATATTGCAAGAAAGCCATCATGCACTTATTCCCCCTCCTCTTCAGCCTCGGCGCTCTGGCAGCCACATTTACGGCCAATCCAGCACCCGCACTACTCACAGAAGCACTGCCTGCACTAGATGCAGGAACAGCCGAGCTAGGCCGCGACGCACTATCCGGCAACCTGCCCAAAAACCTTGCCAAGATTTGGATCTTCAGCAACCTCAACTGCGATCAAAACAACGGTCCTGCTTGGAACATCTACGTACTTCCCGGCGAGGACAGATGCATTCCGTATCAGAATGTTGGATCGATCTTCGCGTGGTACGAGTCTGACATTGGGTACGTCTTTTAGATTCTGCTTCAAAAGAGGTGAACTGACGTGTGGTCTCATTTTTATAGGCATTGCACGACTACGATTCATAGTGGTAGTAATTGCAGAGGCAGCAGTATGACACCGTATAATAAGATGTGCACTAGTGAGTTGTTCGCGTCGCTCAGCGTCTCGTGCCCTAAGGTGTAAGAGCATCGGTCGCATTACTCTCCCAAGTGCATCAAGAGGGGTGTGCCCTTCTGGGAAGATGCTGTAGAAGTGGTCGTTGCGATGAGGAGCAGGTCTCATCCAGGTGTTCTTCCGTTTCTTTACAAGTAAATCACTCAATAAGGCTCACTATTGTACCGAACAACTTGATTTGGCTTTACGGTACTATGCTAGCCGTGACCCATACCCATCAGTGGAAAAGTCTTCATCCACTGTTCGCAAACCACTGCGCGTGGTAGTCATCCATCCCCTTCATGAATCCTCCTAAGCATCTCAAACTGCTCTAGTGTGGGAACTTCCAGTCCTCGGGGCCCTCGGGGCCGGGCCAAAAGAACCCACCATCCTTGTCCCAAGGCTCGTCAAACTCGGAGGAAGAGTCATAGTCCGATACATGACGGCATCGGTAACAGCGGTCCACGGACTTGTCGAACGGGACTCCATCCCGGTATGCTGCTGCGCAATCGGCGCACACGGTGTTCCTGATCCTGTCCATGCAGACAGCGCACTGTGTCCTGAGGAACTCCGATGGCTTATCGGAGGACTTCTTGCAGGTCACTATGCAGCCATGCTGCTCCTTGACCGGGCGTTCGTGCCAGACGATCCTGTCTTTGCCGCTGTGAGCGACCGTGGAAGTGGCCAAGAGGGCCACGGCGGCGACGACGGAGAGGATGAGACGCATCTTTGGTAAGGGCCTAGAGGACTTAGTTAGTATTAGTAGGGAAGAGGACTAGGCAGGTAGTACGAGAGTGGTATCGTTTTGAAACTATTTTCCATTAGCCAGTTGTAATAGGTAAAGGGGAAGCTGTTCGTACATTTGCGTGGGGTTGTTCTTCCTAAGACTTGATTGACTTGTGTTGAGACTGGAAGTTACTGCTATATGGTGAGAGGAAAAGGACATGAGAGGAGGGATGTGAAGGCTTTTATATGAAGACGAGTCGAATAGAAATCGCTAGACCTTTGGTAAACTAACGAAATTTCTCTATCGCACTGTTGCAGAACCATGCCTATACATGGACAGAATTAGCATTACCGAGATCTCATAGGAGAACGAAAGCGATTTGCAAGTGGCCTCAGGTCACGAGGATCACCAGCCAATCGTGTGTATGGCGTCGCGAATTTCGGTGAGTTATTCAATGACCTCAAGACGTGAATCTGGTCGACCCAAGCAATAGGATAATGTGCTTCCCGTAGTTGACAATGGTTCATCGTATGCTGCGTATGTGTGAGGCTCTCATAAGAGACAACCGTTTTTTTTTTTCGTTCGTACCTTGGCTCAGGCATCTAGTACCAGAATTCATTGCTTTCGCGAGTGCTCCAATCTAAGGGTAAATTTTGGTATGGACGTAGTTTGGAATAGGTAGGCTTTGAGTGGTTCGTCGGTACCGGTTATCGCGGAACCAGTGAGCCTGGCACAGAACATTATCTGAAACGTACTCGCTGGATCATATACATTGATTCCTAGGGGCCAACAGACCGCTTATACTTGCATGGCGCGATTTAGTGATGAGATACGGCCTCGAGATATGAGCTTCATCGCATGCGCCATGCTCCTAGCTATGCACTATCCTGGCGTAACGTTCGCAGTTCCGTGGCAACCCAAAACGCGTACAGTACAGTCGGAATTCGACATGATGCACCGCTACTCATTCTATGTACCAGGCCAGGAAGAAAAGAGATATCGAGCATCCCCGTCGAGAGTTGGGCATCGTAGCCAAACCACCAAAGTCATGATGATGCCTACGCTGTCGTAACGCCTGACGCCGGGTATGAATTAGCAAGGTAAAACTCAGAGAGCGGAATGATGACGAAAGCGCTCTACGAAAGAGTGATGTCGCTACCTTCCCCATTCTGTTCCATCGTAGTATCGTCCCCATCGCCGCCTGCCAGGACCTTGGTCTGAGGCCGGTATCCGTCTGGTGGGCCTACACCAGGTGTGCACGCCGCGACATTGCCGTCCTCGTCGACGAACTCGAAGTTGTAGCGGGAGAGCAGATGAGGGATCGCCGAAAGTTGTGGTCCGTAGCGCGCGGTATTATCGTAGAGCTCGAATAAAGGAACGGCGAGGAGTTTCATGTTCTTCGGGACGCTAAGAACCTCTGCGACGTATTAGCAGTTGTACATATTGTGGGAAACAGGCGACTCGAGTCGACCTACTGCTACGGGGAAGCTGGATGAAGTACAGCTTCTTGCATTCCTTTGGCCTGGTGACATGCGCAGGGATGAAAGGGTACATGAAGGTCTCGAAGTTGGGCCGCCACCACTGCGCCAGCGTATCGCCAACTACCCACTCGTCGTTTACGCCTTCGCCTGTGAACTGTGTGCCCACTGGTGCGAGGCGCTCGTTCAGCCTCGCCTTGAAGCCCTCAATCTCGTCATCTTCGGCGCGGAGGTAATCGCCAGGTCTGCATGACGTCAGTGAGGGTGAAAGATGAAGGATGCGAACGCGTACAGCTTGAAGAAGGCGTTTGCGATCTGCAACATGAGGATGTGCGGGTGGTTGTGCTCATGGCAGACCAGGATGCCTTCGCAAGTCCGTCGCATGCCATGCTCCGAGTAGTGCTCTTCTAACCGCTTGAGCCGGGCAAGAACGGACGGATCCTCTTCGGGCTGGCCATCCTTGGTGCCAAATGTGTAGTTGCTTAGAGGGAACAAGCGGATGGTCTTTGGCTGGTTGCCGTTGAAGTCCTTGGGAATGACGGGGCTGCTTCAATTAGCTAATGCAGGAGACATGACTGGCCAGACGTACGGATATGAGCTCTGGGAAGCTTCCTTGACTATGGTGGACATGGTGGGCGCGGATGGGTCGTGTAAGCGGTGGGTTGCTTGTTGCGTCGCGACAATCGAGCAGTCGCGGCGAGCTTGCAGGGATTCAGGGACTCGCTAGCACGTGATGATGCGCGGACCTGGGGATGCCCCACGGCAGCTGCCACAGATGCACCACGCTGTCGTCATCACCGCAACTAAACTTCTCAAGAACTCATTGATTGCGCATGGGATCAGTATGGCACAGACAGCATTGATCACCGGTGGTAAATAGCCTCCACGAATGTGTTACTGCTAGCTGACCGCAGAGCGAAGCTAGTGGTCTGCTCGGCCGGCAAGTGCAGCGAGAGTTCTTGTTAGATGGCTGGAAGTCTCTCGGCACTGGTCTGCATCGCATCACTGCTCCAGATGTGGTGAAGCTGGACATTTTGGATCAGAATGAGATCGCCAGGGTGCTTGATGAAGTCAACCCGAAAGTCGTCGTCCACTGTGCTGCCAACCGCTTCCCTGACTCTTGCACCAATGACCCAGAAGCGGCCAGGAAATTGAACGTAGACGCGAGTCGAGCGCTGGCTGAAGCCACCATCTCTCGGGCAATTTTCCTCATATACATCTCAACAGACTACGTCTTTGCAGGAAGACCTGGAGAAGCTCCTTACAAGACAGATTCGACGCCGAGCCCACCTAATACGTAAGTCTGGGTTTATCACACTATAGTCGTCGCGGATTTTGGGTCGTTCATCCATGTCTTCGGAGTCTGCTCCAAGAACCACGCTATCTCAGGATAATGCTGGGCGAGGTGTCTGATCACAGCTGACACTCCATCAGGTATGGCCAAACCAAGCTGGAAGGCGAACAGGCCGTTCTTGAGGCTGCTGCCAAAACTGGCGCAAAGAACAAAGTCGTCATTCTTCGAGTACCGGTCCTCTACGGATCCTGCGATGAGCCCAAAGACAGTGCAGTCAATGTCCTCATGTCGCAATTGTGGAACGCCCAACAGATAGAGCATGGTCAACCCAAAATTCAAGTCGACGACTATGCGCTTCGATACCCTACCAATACTCAAGACGTTGGCCGAGTATGCCGCGACATAGCGAAGCTGTATCTTGATCCCGCGAACGCGTAAGCCAAACCCGCGTCTTCGATTGATGAGATGCTTCTCTGATACAGTGCTGACGGCCTGTTATAGGAAGCGCGAGCTACCCAAAGTCCTTCATTTCAGTTCGGAAGACCGCATGACTAAATGGCAGATCTGCCAAACATTCTCCGATATCATGGGGTTGCCGCTCGACAATATGGAGCCCTTCAAACCTGACGAAGAACCAAAAGATGGCACCATCAGGCCTTACGACTGCCATCTGGACACTAGCGCGCTACGGGACCTGGGTATCGATGTATCGACTGTTGACTTCCGCACATGGTGGTAAGTACTACTTGCTGTCGCTTTTCACCGCTCACAATTTTGCAGGAGGCGGGAAGTTGGGGCTTTCCGCTGAGGATTATCCCGGTTGACAACACACAAACGCCTATCGGTAGATCACCAGAAAAGCCTCCAAAACGTGATGACCTTGTGCTCCTGCTGCATAATGGTCAGGTGTCTCAATATTGCTAGTCGCAAAGCCAAGATTGCGACGCCGGTAGATCTCCGCGACGTGCCCCAAGTATAGCTATCCGTACCTGCGTTTTTACTGTTACAGAAAAGTCTGAACCCACTTACCGCACATCTCGGATATCGCATTGGATGTTCCAGCGCCGGCCCGCAATCGTCGCGTTCCGAGGTTGTGGTTCTTGCCCTAATCGGGCCTGCGGTCGCTAAATGATTGGATGGTAGCCATCTTTGCGGCGCAGTCTCGCGCCTTGAGTTTTGGGGGCGCTTATGCTCCACGATAATGCTGTTAAGTATCTGTCCTGTCAACGTGTAGAATGGCTGAATCTACTTCTATCGGGTTGTCTACAGAACTGATTTCCCTGTAATTGCCTCCTTCGCCCTGGATTGGCCGGTCTTTTCTTTGTACACACTACCATATGTTTCCTTTCAGCGCAAGCGCGCAGCCAGCCGCCACCTCGGAATCTATTGCTAGTCTCAAAAGACCTTGGACTTCGTTCATTACGCAACGGAAGCAATCCACAGGTATGTCGTACAAACATCATACTCTAATGGTAGAATCTAAACGCGTCAAGATTCCAATCGCTCATCATGGAAGCCAAGCGCGTTCCGTCCTGTTACTCTCATTGCCGCAACATTGATGGCATGGGCTATCATTGCAGTTCTGCACGTTTTGCTGGTTCGTAGCCAAAATGATGGCGGCATCATCTTTGCGACTACTATCGATGATATACCATTTGCACAATCCTTCGTTTACCGATATCTGCCAACGATTTTGGCCCTCGTCTTCAGCATTTTCTGGGGTTGGATTGACCTCCAGGTGAAGAGAGTTGAGCCTTACTATCAGCTTAGCCAACCTGATGGTGCTTGGGGCAAGGACAGCTTGCTGATCAGCTATCCGTTTGACTTCCTCCCCTTCGTACCCTTTAGCGCTCTCAAAAGCCGGTATGGTCTATCTTGTTCATTTGCAGAAAGCTGGAGAGCTAACATTCGTTAGCCATTGGGCTGTGTTTTGGGCTAGCATATGCGTAGTCTTTGTCACATGGGGCGTGGTCCCCCTTCAAGCCGGTATACTCGCCACAGAGACAATTACTCGTACATCCGACACTCAATTCGCACGGTCCGATGGCTTCATGCCCGCAAGCGAGCAGATCAATAACATCACCGGACGCTATATTCAATCTGCCCATGGTATTATATGGCTGAACGAGACGCTTCCGCAATACATGACCCGCGACTACGTCCTTGCACCCATTCAGCCGAAGGATATCGTTAGCGACTTGGCTTCAAACTTGACCTGGACAACTCCTACAACATTGTACAGTCTAGATTTGGAGTGTGAGACACCCACTATCAAAGTCAAGAACGAAACTCGTTACAGTGGGGACATCAACACTGGGATGGAGACTGTACAAACAGCGATGTACATGAGCAGTAGTGGCTGTAGCTTCCCGGCTGATTACTACAAGACATTCGGAAACGAGACCATGGGCCCAAATCCGGACTTCAATAACCAATCCGTGTACGATACGAAAGAATTCGCTTCCGTGTACATCGGCTATCACCGTACCGATTTCGCCGACTTTTATCTTGAAGGACTTTGCCCAGAAACATCCGATCGTACCTTCATGGTGCTGTTCACTCGAAATAAGAAGTCGATCAACGAGAAGCCGCAAAACGTAACCAGGCTTTATTGTACACCCTCATACTATCAACAAGAGGTCATGGCGAGCATTGATGCTCTTACGCGGCGTCCTATCAACATTACAGCCAAGGGAGACAAAGTGCCGCTTCCAGCCGACAAGTGGAACACAACCTTCTTTGGTTACCAGATGAACACGGGAAAGAGCGACGTAGAGAACCGTGATTCACTACCAATCAAGTACTGGCCCGACCAACTGGAAACAGTCTCCACCCTTCCTCTCAGTTTGGGATCGCAGGGCGCCATTCTCAGCGGCATGGCAGGGTTCTCCATCGGAACGTCCAATGGCTCACTGGAAGAGCTCCTGGACCCTGAAGCATTGAGACGCTCGTATGAAGCTGCTTATCGTATCATCTTTGCAAGATCTATGGTAGAAATCCTGGATCATGATTTCACCGTCGCGACTATGGTAAACGGTAGCACTGAGTATATGATTGCGGCTGTCGTTGTCGTTCCAGTGTTTACTTACATCGTAGAGGGTCTCTTAGGATTCATATCGATATGCAGCATCGCCCTTCTTGTCATATCTCTTCGTCGAAAATGGAGCCTGCAATCCGACCCGGCAACGATCGCGAGTGTTATGGCGCTGGTCTCCGATAACCCATCGTTACTAGATGACTTCTCGAAGCTTGAATGCGCCAATATGGAAGACTTCCAAGCGCATTTGAAGGACAAGAAGTTCTCACTAGAGCATAGTGAGCGAGGTAATACGTAAGTAGATGCCCACCAATGGCTCTGGATTCTCACTGATCACTTTCGCAGTATTACCGAAGCAGACAGTTTCGACCCGCTGGGTATTAATGCTCATGGTGTTATTCGTACCGACTCGGAAGAGTCTCAGACCCTAATACCAGTACGGCCACGAGAGTTCCGTTCTTTCATGATACTACCCTTTGTTGGCCTACTGATAGCTCTTGCGATCGCTCTTGGCATTGTGTTATCGAAGAGCCAGCCTCACGGTAAGAACATGCCGCTGCAACGATGCAGCTCCGCTAATATGTCTCGAAGGTATCGCTAGACCATCGGATACGGTTGTTCGCCAACTTGTTACAAATTATATCCCTACTGCACTTGCGACATTGATCGAGCCTGTTTGGATCTTGATTAACCGCTTATTGTGCCTGCTACAACCTCTCGAGGAGCTCCGAGGCGGTAAAGCGACCGCACAAAAGTCGATCAACGCCGACTACAGCTCTCTACCACCACAGCTTGTCGTCTTCAAAGCACTTCGATCCTCTCACTTCAAACTTGCTGCAGTTTGTCTCATGGCTCTTCTTGCCAATGTTCTTGCAGTTGCTTTTTCCGGAGTTTTCGAAGAGCGTTCCGTTATGGTTCCTATGGAGATGTCGTTCGTGCCGCCCTACGAACACAAGTTCGTGTCGGTCAACGGAAGCGTGGGGCCGAACATGCCGAACCAAGAGCAAGTATCGTTGAGGCCTTCTGGCGCTTATACAGGAGGCTTAGGTTCGAACCAGTTCCTAGTTGCCGAGTCCAACTACACTGCAGGTACCCCACTTCCAGCATGGACCGACGATCAATTCATGTACATGCCATTTGTGGACGAAGAACATCCAAGCACCGAGCCGACCGACGAGCTTCGGGCTCGAACGGAGGCCATTGGAGCAAAGCTCCAGTGCCGACAGATCCAGGCCCGGGATTGGACAGCGAGCTGGTTCAGCGACGGCTTCGACAGGTCCACTTCAAACATCTCTGTGA